TGATGAAGTGGTGGTTGTTGCTCTTGCCTAACAGCAGAAAAGTCACCTGTTCCAGCCCTAGTAGTAGCTTAGAGTGTTTGTGTGGCATTTTTTTATCCATAACTATAAGTATAATAGTTGTTGTGGTTGTCTCTGTATGTGGACTGCTATGGGTCCTGCCATAAACTAATGGATTGAATGCTTTGAGAAGAATTATATTCATGGAGGAAATGTGACCTGCAGTGATAGTGCTGAGCTTCTGTTTCAGACAACGGTGTGGGAGACGCCTGTGAAGGAGACTTTGACATGTCATTGATAAAATTGACCACTGTCCAGAGAACGCTGAGGTCACCCTGACTGACTTCAGAGCCTATCAGACCATGGTGCTGGACCCACATGGAGATTCTCAGATTGACCCCAACTGGGTTGTCCTCAACCAGGTGAGTAACTCACCAGTTCAATATAGAGTCTGAATACTCAAAATGACTTCACGTGTGGTTTTCAAGTGTGATTAAATTGTGATTAAATATATCGATTAAGCCTCACATACAGTATGTATTTATACTAAATTTTGTTGTTCTTTTTATCATGTTACAGGGCAGCCTGTGTATTAATGGTCGTATGTTGAGCAAGCACCACTACCTTCGCTCCCTGGGAGTTTCTAAAAGCTATCACTGTTCGGGTGCCCAAACTTTTTCATAGCACTGTATGTGAAAGTCATGGAGAAGGAGGGGTGTGCCGAGGATTTATTTGTTTACAGACTGAAAATGCCTGTCACACCATTTTTTAACGGGAATCCCTGCGGCCCCCAACTTTAGAATCTGGAATATCTGCCCATGTTCTATGTCAGTTCATTTATTTTGATCACCTTTAATTTAACCAGAGTTTGACTGGAGCCAAGCTTTTAAAATAATGATTTTTTTTTTTTATGTGTTCACAGGGAATGGAAATAGTACAGACTATGAACTCTGACAATGGCCTTGCTGTTGGTACATACAGAATGCTAACACATTCTCACCTCATGGTCTGCTTTATTTTTCTCATTTTCTTCAGTACATTCCTTACATGTTTTTCCTCACATATGCAGGTTATGTAGCTTTTAAAGGGGTGGACTTCGAAGGAACTTTCTACGTGAACACGGTGATAGACGACGACTATGCTGGCTTCTTCTTTGGATACCAGGACTCCTCCTCCTTCTATGTGGTGATGTGGAAACAGACAGAACAGACTTACTGGCAGTCTGCACCCTTCAGAGCTGTGGGTTCTCCAGGGATACAGCTGAAGGTGTGGAGGATGATCGGTCATTGCCAGGGTGTACGACAGTGATTGCCCATCACTTACGGCTCTTTGTGTTACAGATGGTGAAATCTCAGACAGGACCTGGTGAATATCTGAGGAACTCCCTTGGGCACACAGGAGACATCCCAGGACAGGTTCGCCTGTGGAAAGACCCCAAGAACATTGGCTGGAAGGACAAGGTTTCATACCGTTGGTTCCTCCAGCACAGGCCTCAGGTTGGATACATCAGGTACAGATAGAAACAGTAGCATACAGACAATGTCACATATCATGTGAAATGACGTGTGTGTGCGTGTGTGTGTGTGTGTGTGTGTGTGTGTGTGATCCAGAGCTCTCTTTTTCGAAGGTTCAGACCTTGTGGCAGATACAGGGGTGATTATTGACACTAGTATGAGAGGAGGACGCCTGGGCGTGTTCTGCTTCTCCCAGGAGAATATCATCAGGTCTGCCTTGAGTGTCTACACATTTGAGGAATGCCAGTCAGCCCCACAAGTTTTCAGCCTCTCTAT